CCATTGTGTGTTGGTTACCAGCCAAATCTATTAGATTTTTTTTAACAATCAAAGGTTCTTAATAATTTTTATATTAATAAATTATATCCATATGTAAATCAATTTTAGGTCACAATCTTTTGCATTTAATAAATAAATTTGTATACTATACAAAATCAATTTTAAATCTTTCAAGTGTATAAAAAAATATAGGCAAAAATACTATTTTTGCTTGTATTTTTTCCTTTTAATGCTTGTGCTCTAAATTTTTATTCAAAAGCAAAAATCCTCAAATTTTTTCTTATATATTCGTAATTGCTAAAATTTATTTTGCCAAGCATCAAAACCCTTAATGAAAATTAAAAATTTGTGACTTTAAACTCACCTTCATTGTTAATTGTTTTATTTAGACTTATATTTTAACTAGGTAACTACTTAAATTTCTTTGACTTTTTATTTTTGTTGCTAATTTATAATTTGTTTAATCCTTTATTTAGAAAATTTGTAATAATTGTTAATAGGCAATATTTCTTCTCTTTAAAATACCAGCATTGTTATTTTTTTTAGGCCATGTTTTAAGTTATGTTACTTATATTTGAATTTTTCTAGTTAATATTTAAATAGGATTTTTTAGATTTTTATTAATATTGATTTAAAAGTTGTAGTATCTTGTATCTAGAAAATTGTTAATAGGTATATGAATATAGGCAATAGTTTTTCTTTTCAAAATACCATTGAAAATTTTTTGTCTAAACTATTTTGTTATATTTTTATTTGTTTACTTTAAGTATATAATATTATATTAATAATATTTTTTAGATTTTGTTAATTGGGTATTTTTAATTAATTTTAATATTGATTTAAAAGTTGTAGTATCTTGTATAGAAAATTGTTATATATATATATAGGCAATATTTTTTCTTTTTAAAATACCATTGTAAATTTTTTGTTAAAGCTATTTTGTTATAATTTAATTTGTTTACTTTAAGTATAATATTATTAGATAATATTTTTTAGATTTTGTTAATTGGGAATTTTTTTTCCAAAGTATTTTTTTTGTACAATAAATTTTTGTTGTTTTTAAATATATATTAAATTTTCCAATAATAAAGAAAAATCCTACCCAAATTTATAAAAAAATCCAACGTTTTATGATACAATAATCCCACGTATTTCCAACGTTTTATAATACACAAAACCCACATATTTCCCACGTTGTATAATACACAAATCCCACGTATTTGCAACGTTTTATAATACATAAAAGCAACGTTGTATAATACACAAAACCCACGTATTTGCAACGTTTCATAATACGTAAATCCCACGTTTTTTATAACATTAAAAACTAACGTTGTCAGATAACGTTATAAACCGGGACATTTCAACATAAAATTATACATAAAAGTTAGGTTTTGCCAACGTGGGAAAAACGTTGTTTCTACGTAAAATTTCTACTAGGGATACTAATGAAATGCATTTACGACAAAATATGATTATAATTATAGGTATTTACTTTATTTGTTTAAAAGCTCCAATGTTCAATGTAACCAACCATTCCACAAGATTCCTCTGCTTTGGAGTCCGTTATTAATAAATCACTTATCTAATATCAATTACTTACAAATAACATAACAATAACATTGATTTTCAATAATCTAAATTAAAAAAAAACAACCCGAAAAAAAGAAACGTCAAAAAATCAATTCTTCTTCTTCTTCTCAACTAAAATTTTAAATCAAGTAGTTTTAAAACTAAAATATTATAACGTGGCGCCATCTATCGTGAGAATCTTAAACTAAACACCATAGAAAAAGCTGGCAACGTTGTCAATAGCCTAGTGACGTAATTAGGAGACTTTTTTTTGTAAATATCTCGAAAACGGTAAACTTAATTGAAATTCCGATTTCACAAAGATGTTTAAAATTACAAAACGCCTTGAATAAAACCATAAAAAGTATAGGTCAGAAAAAATTTAACTACCCCATTCGTGACTCATTTATTTGCCGAGGTTCGGATTCCTAAATCTCAAATTGCAATGCAGCCAGTGTCAACTTATATACTTAACGAATAGTGCCACATAAGCGAGATGTATTATGCAACAGTGGTTGCCTATGATAAGTAGATTTCTACTATATTATAGTAGATACCTACTTATCATAGGCAACCTTTACTGCATATTGCAACTGTTAACAATTAATATATCAATGTTATTTGACAACTTTACCCTTATTTGTCTGAAACACAATAACCGGACCATATTATAATATTATTATAAAATTTGTTTATCAATGAAGAATTCTTGAATCGTTTGAAAGTCGATCGTTTGAAAGACGATTGGACGAATTCGCGTCTAAAGACGATCGTCTTTAGACGATTTTTCCCCATGGTACCTCTGTATTTGGAAATTGAAATTTTAGTATGTTAAACAATTAAAGGCATTAAATATATAGGTAGGGTAAGGTGGGGTAGGTTCGGACATGGGGCACCTCCGGACAAATCAAATTTACTGCCTTAAAGTGCTACGAGAGTTTCCATATTGACAGTAAATATCCTTCTACACTAATAGTTCTGTGGTCCGTACATGTTTAGCGACTTTGATCACTCGACAACTATTTATTTGAGAAAATATAAAAACATAGTTATTCTTATAAATTTTATTAGGGCTATCGTAAGCTTTCTTGGCTTGAGAACACCAGTAAGGTAAGTTTTATACCTTTTACCGCAGATATTAGTATCTTTGGCGATACATAACCTCATAAAACAGCATCAGTTAACCATGTGCAAATTTTTATTTTGATATCTATGTATTTCTGGAACATGGGACACGTTCGGACAAATCGGGTGGGGCAGCTTCGGACTGTCCGAATGTGCCCCATTTTACAAATAAAACCCAGTTTTGATTGATTTAACTTTCTGGGATGGTACGTAACTAATTTAAAAAGAAAAAAGGTAAATCCAGAATTTATACAAGCACACCGGAAAAGGAAAGAATTCAAGAATTGGAAACAAAAACACGAAAAGAAAAGCATTAGGAGAAGAGCAAAGGAAAGGCGCCGAAGAAAAAGTTAAAAAAAATAGAAAGTGACTCCTCGGATTCTGATATAGATTTACCACAGAATATTGTGCATTCATGAGACAAAAATTTTTGATTCCGATTCTCTGGACGAGTTTCAAGACAATGACGATGTGCTCATGCTATTGCATGATGACGTGATCCATTGTCATGATTATTTGCTTGTCAAATACCCGACCAACAGAAGGACACTTCATTATATCGGCAAGGTAGAATCTTGCAATAATGAAGGCTCTTACGTCTTAAATTTTTTGAGGAAGTATAAAAGCGGTTTCCGCTTTCCGGACTTGCAAGATATTTCGACTGTTTCCAGAGAAGATATAGTTTCGAAAATACCGAAGCAGCACCAGAGGCAGCACCAGGAACTTCAAGGATGTGTTCGCTCTTTAAATTTAATGTCAATTTTGATGGTTATAATGTTTAATAAACTTTTTCTAATATAGTCTCTTATTCATTCTAAAAATAAATAGGTTCTAAATTTTCTCAGGCCTGTCCGAAAGTACCCCACTACTTGTCCGAATGTGCCCCAATATGGGGCAGATTCGGACAAATGCATTTTTTTAAGTAAAATATCACCAAACGAAAACCACTTAATATTTTTTGCTTAAGATAATGCTAAAATGTTGGAAATAGACTAAGCTATCCGTAGTATTTGCATTAAGTCTAAAAAAAATTGTTATCTTTGAAATATTAATTTTTGAAAAAACGTGTCCGAACCTGCCCCACCTTACCCTACTACCAGAGACAAGGGTACTCTGGGTACTACTTTTTGACTTAAACCAATTTCTAAAATGGCGTCGTACTGTCAAAAGGTCACATTTTTTTCAATGGGAAATGGAATCATTATCGAAAAGGTATTTATTGCAAGCTGATACTTTATCTAATTTATAAAGCTGATCAAAACCAACTCACAATGGATTTTGAACCAACTACTAATTTTTCAGATTCTTTACAGGGGTATGTCAGAAATAAGAACAAAAAAAATCGCTTTTTATGAGTAGGTAGCTATAGCTATAGGTAACATTTTTTGACATGCATGGATTAAAAAAAAAACAAATGACGTCGTACTGCCAAGGTCACATTTTTTTGAAGTGAGTGAAATATCATTTCAGGTATTTTAAAGCGTAACTAGTTATTTTTTCGATTGTACAGGGTGGAACAAAAAAATTCCACTTTCACCAAAAGCGCCATTTTCAAAAAATAATAACAGTAACATACAATACAAAAATAACACGTTAACACGTAATAACACGTAAATCTTTTGTTGATAATTTTTTACAATTTAAAAAATAAGTAGGTAGGTACTTGCAAGTACTTGCAACCATGATTATGAGTACCTACATGATTTTTCACATGACCATTGAATAAAATGTGTACTTTTGAAAGTACGACGCTATTTTCAAAATTTTTTACGTCATAAAGCAGTAGGAACCGGAATCATAAAAATCTATATGATGTTTATTACATATTAAATTAAGATACATTATTTTTTGATTAATTTTAAAACATATTTTCATTTAATCGACCAAGTACTAAGTAGCCAAAAAATTCAAGGAACTTCGCGTTATTTCTTTCATCATGCTAGATGCAAAAGTAATTTCAAAATATGAAATTTTCTGTATTTTAATGTTTGAATTAAACTGATTGGTAAGGAAAAGTATCCACTGATTTTATTGTTTAAAATAATCAGCGTCAATTTCAATTAATAGAATTTACTTACGTTATTTTACTCAATGATTGGAATTAACCATTTCAATCAATAAAAAATAAAAATTATGTTTGCCTATTTCATTCATTGAAAATAAAAGTCCATTCATTGACAGATTTCTTATGTCAGTCTTACCTTACAAAGTGACCTTAAACTTATGTAATGGTATGACAGATTTCTTACTTCAGTCTTACGTAAGAAAGTGACCTAAAACGTATGTAATAGTATGACGTATTTCTTACGTCAGCCTTACGTAAGAAAGTGACCTTAAACTTAGGTAATATTATGACAGATTTATTACGTCAGTCTTACGTAAGACAGTGACCTAAAACTTATGTAATAATATGACAGATTTCTTATGTCAGTCTTACGTAAAAAAAGTGACTTTAATGTTACGTCACGATATGACTTTAATATTACATAAGATGTACGTAATATGTAAGTCATTTAATTACATCATATAAAAGTCACGTTTTGGGTCAGTATTATGTCACTATGACGTAAAAATTGTATTACCTAGATATGATCTACGTGTTACGTAAATTTTAGGTCATAAGTCACGGTTTGGTTCACTGGGTAACTACTTTATGACATCTTTTTCTTTTATAATTTTTCTGACATTTTTTCAACAACTATCAAAAACATATTAATTATTTTTTTTAAAACAAAAACCAAAATTAACAATAACTTTTTCGTATTCCCTCTGTATGTTGCAACAGGTGGAGTCGTAGCATCAATAGGTAAACCAATGGAATGGGATGATCCAATAATGCATACAGAAGAAAACTGTTATGATTGCGTTAATAACGATGTTTTTAGTAAGGGATTTAATCCAACTAAAAGCAAATTAAAAACATATATCGGTGTAGAGAGTGCAGTTCGCCCACTTCCACATAGTACTAAATTTCCAGTCCCATATCGTCCAAAACGCCCAATAAGTTTTTTACACTCTGAGGATTCAGCACCTTCAAATAGATTTTTTGACCAAGATTTTGTTCAAATGGATGAAACTGAGGTAGTTTTAATCTTAATTTCCCAGGAGCATTTGAATCGTATAGTCTGCATCATATAGACTGCACTTGTCGCAAAGATATGCAGAAATTTTAGCACAAGAGCTGAAATCCGTTGGACTTTTAGCTCCTGGCGTGAAAGTTACTGGCTATAGACATCGACAATCTCAATTTTTGCCATATTTTACACAATCTGAAGACAACAGCTATGCATTTTGCAACAACGTTGAAGGTTTAATGTCCGAAATGGGAATTGACCAGTATGAGCCAGAAAAATGGCGCAATTTCATAGATTCAAGCAAAACTAGCTTGAAGGCAGTTTTACTGTATGAAAATAGCACTATAAAACCGGTGCCAGTTTTATATGCAATAAAAAAGAAGGAAAATTATGAGACAATGGGGTGGATTTTAAAAACTCTAAATTACAGTTGTCATGGATGGCGTGCCTGCTGCGATTTGAAGGTGGTAACATTTTTGCTGGTATGCAATCTGGATATACTAAATAATGTTGCGCATTTGGTAAATAGCCGTTTTTCTGGAAATCAGTACAAAAAGCGAGATTGGGAACCAAGAACATTTACCTCATTGGGCCAATTTAACCAAATTTCACCACCATTGATGCACATAAAATTGGGCATAGTGAAAAGTTTTATTAAAACTCTGGTAAAGCCAAGTCATCCTGGAAAACATCCAAGAAATATACCTGCTTTTAATCACTTAAATACACATGTATTCCAAAATTATCATTTGAAAAAGTTGAAGAAGGTAATATATATACTTTATTTTGTTTTTATTTTATTAGAAGTATTTTATGGTAGGCGTGTTTAATGGACCCGATATAAGGAATGAAAGATAAAACATTCAATGATTGTTTAAAGGAGAACGAATTGAGTGCCTGGAATTCAATAAAAGGAGTTATTGAAGGTCTTTTAGGAAACAATCGGGATGAAAATTATAGGGTAAGCATTAAAACAAGCACATACATACATGTGTATACACATACACATATATATATTATGTAAAAAAACAGTAAACTTTAATTTATAGGATTTGGTCAATACAATGATGATTTCTTTCGAAAAAATGGGTGTAAACATGTCACTTAATGTAAATTTGCTCCATGCACATCTTGACCTGTTCGAAAATCAGCTGTCCACCGAATCAGACGAGCAAGGCGAACGGTTTCATTAAACAATAATGGAAATGGAAAATCGTTAAAGAGGAAAGAGGTTTGATTCGATTTTGGCAGATTTTTGTTAGTCCATGGCAATGGAAATTTTGGCATAAAATTATAAATAAAATTTGTTATATCTTTTATGTTGATTATGTGGATTTGTTAAAAAAGAATATGTTTTTAATAATTAATAGTAGAAGCGAAAGAACTAAGAAATTGCACTACATGATTTTTATTGTAGAAACTGAAAATCCTTTCAGAACCCCATCATCTTTATTTTTTCCGAAAATGTTGCATATTGTAATTTATAAAATAATTTGCAGAGTATCCAATTATGCAAAATATCACGGTATAGTGGTATTTCCAAAAAAGAAAAGTCGAAAAGGCGTCACGGCAAATATTTAAAACAAATATATTTTTTTAATTGTTTATAGTTTGAAGTAAACAATATTGCTAAATTGTAGTGTTTGTAAATACATTTTTACTTATTTTGTTGATCGTATTTTGGGTTTAATAATATTTATTTTATAACAACTAAAGGGAATTTTGAAATAAAAAAAACATAAAAATAACAATTACAGTTTATTATTCTTACAAGCTACTATACAAACATTTTCCAAAGATATACTTTTATCAATATAATGATGCAAGTAACAATTATATCCTTTTTCTTGCATGTGCTCTAATCTGCCCCAATTTAAAACGTTTTTACTTTTTCTTCCTACACACTCCTTCTCTTCTCTATTGAGTCCCAATTCAACATCTCTAAATAAACATAATTTTAAAACATACATATTTAAAATTTTGTTTTGTTGAAATCACCTCGTAATTTTAATTTCTTCTTTTACTTCTGTATCTTTTATTTCATTATCTTTTTCTTTTTTTGTCATATTTCTTTTTTCTCTACTAATGCCTGATCCACATGTAGCCCAGCTTGTAAGTCCACATACGATTTCAAAATCTTCTTTTGTCAATTCATTTTTCTAATAAAATTCAGTTAAATATTTTTAGTAATAAATAGTAAATATCATAAAATTTAATTACGAAGCAGTTTTGGAACAAAGCTAAAAAATGCCAAAACCACGTTTTGGTTTATTTTGCGATAAAATGTAATATTATTAGATATTAAAATTTTATTACATTTTAGGGTCCAGTCAACAAAATGCTTACCATAAAAAAATCTTTTCCCACATAGGAAGTCCATCTGCATCTGTGATGGCAACAAAAAGTCATAATTGCGCCCTGAACTTTATTTTGATTTTCTTTTACATTTGTAAGGCATCTTATAGCTAAATCTGAAAAATATTACAATTGAGTAACAATATTACAATTTATTAAGTTAGGTATATTCATTGCAGTGCATATTGCTTCAAGCACAGTGATCGCAAAGCTTGATTGCGCATGCATAGAATGTGCGCCTACATGTAAAGGGTGTCCCATTAAGACCGCCTATTTTAAATTTAGTGTCATTTTTTTTGTGTCAATCGTACAGCGTTGTTGTTGGAAAGTGGTCATGTGTGAACATTGAGGTTAAGTCATGGAGATTTACACGGACGCACAACGGATAGAAATTGTAAAAATCCACTATCGAAATTGTGAGAATTTTTCGGAAACGGTTTGAAGATATCGTGGATTTTTTGGTCACCATAACGCACCTTCACGACGTATTGTGGTCCGATTATAATCGTGCAATTTAAAACGATTGGGTCAATTCAAACCAAAAAATTATTTTGAACAAAATTCATCTTCCGGTTTTAACGGAAGTGATATCAACTTTGTTATTTTAAATGGATCATCATATTTTTTTTACATTTTTAAATTCCTACTATCATTCCTTATAAAATGGCTATACCATGTCCTATACCTAAACTTAATAGTTTTTGAGTTATTAATTTGTTTTGTAAAATTCGGTCAGTTTCACCCTCAACAAAAAGAGCTTATAACTTTTTTATTATTAGGTTTGCTGATATCCGGTTGGATTTATTGGAATCCTGAAGCATTCTTTTAAAGGTTCCATGTAATTTATTTTAATATTTCTAAAAAGATACTTGATAAAAAACAATGTGAATGTAGCTAACTTAAAACAGCAATAACTTGTTTATTTTCAATGGAACGCCCTGTATATTTTTACATAATTAAATATGAGTTAATAATAACAAAGATATTTTACAATTCCTATTATTTATTATGTATTTCAAATTTTTAAATATTAATATTAATTTAAATTAATAAACAATACTACTGTAATCTACGAATGAGTTTCAAAAATCATATGACAAGAAAATAATATTAATAATAAAAATATTTTTTTTCGGTGTTTGTAAATAAAAGCACTCTCTAAAAATGAATTAGTCAAAAATTAAAATAATTTAATAGTTAGTGGCTGCTTTTTCACTTGTACCATGGTTAACCATGGAATACCATGGTATCCCAAAATTTAACAGTCAATTCTTATGTAAAATTGTCCCCTGAATCCGAAAATGTCAAAAGTTAAGAAAGTAAAACAGATTTTGAGATATAGTCAATTTTCCATTTAATATGGAATTGACTATATCTCAAAAACTGCTTCACTTTAATAATTTTTGGGATACCATGATATTTCATGGTTAACCATGGTACAAGTTTAAAAGCAGCTACTAATAATTATTAATTTAGTCATTTTTGACTAATTTATTTTTAGAGAGCCTCGAAACAAAAAGTAAATATGTCGTTTTGTAGGTATGTGTATAAACGGTCTGATTGAACGCCCGGTACCTTCATTAAAAGGTATATTATTATTTACTAATAAGGTTAGAAATACATTAATTAAATAAAAATAATGTTTTAAATTAACAAAAATTGTTAATAATATAGTTAAAAATCACTATTCAAATGAAGTTTTGATGAACTTGTTTATTCTTCATTGACAATATAACAAGCTTATTGCTAGAAAATGCAGAAACTTTTTGTATGTTGTACCTTTAATTTGGTTACCTATCCATTAAGCATAAATATTTTCAACTTCTTTTGAGTAGTTATTTTCCTTTATTTTAATAATAATAAATATCGGGAAGTTTTGTTATTCATACCAAATTAATACACATAAGCAACATTTTATCAGTTTTTTTTCATATTATTAGGTTAATTGTAAAATATCTTTCTATTAACTTTAGGTATAGGGAATAGTTATATCAATGAAAAGGGATTATAATTTCATATTTAATTATGTAAAAATATATATGGCGTTCCATTGAGAATAAAAAAGTTATTGCTGTTTTAAGTGAGCTACATTCACATTATTTTTTTACAAGTATCTTTTTTGAAATATTATAATAATTTACATCTTGAATCTTTAAAACAGTGCTTTAGGATTTCCATAAATCCAACTGAATATCAACAAACCTTATATTAAAAAAGTTATACGCTTTTTTTGTTGAGGGTGAAACTGATCAAATTTTACAAAAAATATTAATAACTCAAAAACTATAAGTATAGGACATGGTATAGCCATTTTATAAGGAATTTAAAAATGTAAAAAAAATTATGATGATCCATTTAAAATAACAAAGTTGATATCACTTCCGTTAAAACCGGAAGAGGAATTTTGTTCAAAATAATTTAGAAAAATAGTTTAAATGATATTATAATTGCTATAAAAATTTCAATTTGATATCTTTTGCCGTTCTCCATAAACGTCTAACCTAGCATCGACCGTGATACACCCTGTATATGTCAATGTATACAAAAACTAAACACAATATCTATTATCTATTTATATTATAATAACTATTATAAATGTAATACTTTTTTTATAATAGTAATTTAGTTTTTGTACTTTTGATTTTAATTACCCCTTAAAAAAAGCACAAGATCGTAAACTCCCTGTATACAGGGTGCAGCAAGTATTCTTCAATGCATTTGTATTAAAAAATACAGTGTAGGTATTTACTGTAAAAATAAGTGAAATTTAGTGTAAAAAATATTGTTTATTTTTTTTAAATTTAATTCAGTAATGTACAACAAGGGGTTTATAAAGGCCAATTTTGATAATTTACCAATGGTGGATATATTTATTCAGATTTCCCTAAAAATGACATTCAGTTCAATTCAGCAGAAATTCAAGGAGATTTTAAAAATAATAATGTAAGTGTAAGTGTAGATTAAAAACAAAAGATTTTTAATTAAATGTAGTTAATTATATGTAATTAAATTATTTGTGGTTATGTTCGAACTCTAAATATAACGTCTCACGGGCTTGTTTTTTTTTCGAAAATTTATTTTTAATTTGAGATAACTTTTTATATAACGAACAAAATAATTATAATAATAGTTTTATTATAATTTTTTTTCAAAACTCCAAATAAGCGAAGCATAGCCGATTAGCATACATTTTACATTTTATCTCCAAGGCAAAGTTTCATGTGTTAAACGATGTGTACTATCATAAAAATAATTATTAAAAATATAAAGTGAGGTTAGATAACGAGTTTTTACAGACTAGAATGTAAAAAACTTCACCTGATTGGTTTAAATTATTTGTACAGCCTGGGAGATAATCTAATACCTTGGTAGTAAGCGTTCACAATAATAAAGCTTAAATTAAGAACGCTAATGGAGATTAAATATATTTTTTAAGTTATAATAAAATATGTATGCTTTTATTATAAATTATGGTATATATACTAGGGTGTTTCAAAAAATCGACTTTTTCTTTTTCTTCAAATGGTCAGCAAATTCTTTCAGAGGATGTCAAAACAAAGACCTCGTTAAAATTTGAGCTTTTAATTTGAAGATTTAGAGGTCGCGGATCGCAATTTTCTATTTCCCATTTAAATAACATAGGAATTTTTTTTTTTTACTTTGGAATTTTATACCTCTATATCGAATCAACTTATGGCAAGGAAAATCTTAGATTTTTATAGTAAATTTAACGCTCTATAAAAAATGTCTCTTATAATTTTTCTATAAATTGATTTCTTCCAGAGTTATTCGAGGCCAAAGTTTGATTTCCATCGAATTTTCTCGTTTTTTCAACTTTTAGCATCATGTAGTAAAAAAATCACATATTTATATCTGAAACATAGGAAGTGTTGTAAAAATAAACAAAAAACAAAAAAACGTCACTTTTTTCCAAAGCCTACTACAAAGTTTTAATGAAAATATGAGATGTGTATAATATGCATAAATGCATTTTTCTCGAAAATGGTGCATCTGAGCAATTCAAATCAAGAGTACCTATTTTTCGTAAAAAACTATAAATTCTCATAATTTCATAAAAAAAATTAAATTAAATTATTAACCCAGAAAAAAGTTGGGGCTATTTTTGTAACTTTGTCCCCTCCAAATGTTACGCCTATGATTAAATTTTAACAGTTTTGATCATAGATCTAGATTCAGCATGTCAAAATTACCAAAATACCGAAAATTCATTTGTTCATGTTCAACCCTCTAGGAATAGTTTTAAAAAAATTATCCTCTTAGGCTCCTATTCAGGGGGCCGTAGCTCCTTTAGGGAGCATTTTTTGATACATGTTTATTAAACAAAAAAAGTGTTATTTTTATACGAATAATGCACTGTTTAAGTTTGGCCCTCTGATTTCGGGACACCCGTATAATGAAAATTGTACCATAAATGTTAAAAAAACGCTAATATTCGATGGAAATCAAACTTTGGCCTCGAATATATCTGGAAGGAATCAATTTATAGAAAAATGATAGGAGACCTTTTTTGTAGAGCGTTAAATTTACTATGAAAATCTAAGATGATCCTTGACATAAGTTGATTCGATTCAGACGTATAAAATTTCAAAGTTAAAAAAAAAATCCCATGTTATTTAAATGGGAAATAGAAAATTGCGATCCGCGACCTCTAAATCTTCAAATTAAAAGCTCAAATTTTGACGAGGTCTTTGTGTTGACATCCTCTGAAAGAATTTGCCGACCATTTGAAGAAAAAGAAAAAGTCGATTTTTTTTAAACACCCTAATATATACCATAATACGGTTTATAACATTAAGGATTTAAAACAAGTTTTTAAATTCCACTACACTATTACCTGTACTATGTACTATACCTGTTGCTTCACCGCATAAATGTTTGGTAACACCCACAACATTTGTTGTTTTATTAATGACTTCTAATTTATCCAAAACTAAATCAGAAATATCCGCTCGTATCCTTTGCACAACCTCTGTTGTTTTTGCCAATTTGTTATCCCTTTTATGTTTTGGAGAAGCTCTCTCAACTAATAAAAGACAGGTCCCCTCCAAATTTTCTGTCGATTTTGATATCCAATATGTTAACTGTCCTAAATGTTAAATGTATAACAAACATGTATACAGAATATGATGAAAAAAAACATGAGTAGGTACTAATAAATCACTCTGTATCAATTAATGTTGACTAACCTCTTCCAGCTCCAAACTCAATATAACAAGTATTTGGTTTAACTAAATCATAGTTAAACAATAATCCTAATATTGATGAAGCTTGTTTTAAATGTTTCTTAGTTTTGTCACCATATTCAGGCTTGGTCATTTCATCTTCAACATTTTTTTCACTTAATATTTTATCTGTTATCTGATTATTAACATGATCTAAAATATAAAAATACAGTGATATTCAGAAAACAACTTGCAGAAAAGTTTTTATTTTCTTTGCAATTTTGTGTAGAAAAGTCTACAGCATTTACTGATGTATAAAGTTTTAAATATATATTTCCAAATTGTTTGCAAAATCTACTTGATCAGAATTACCAGCCCTCTGCAGTGGATTAACTGAATTGAAATTTTATATGAGATTTTTCAATGCAGATAATAGAAAAATATCCCATTTCTACTTATTTGGGTCTAAAAGGCAATATTCACAAACTTTTAGTAAATATTTTTTTAGAAACATTGAAAATGGGGGAGCTAATTCTGGTTTACTTGCACTTGTTTTTTAAAGAAAGTGAAAATTTTACTATAAACTCTCTGGCTTGGACATCTATTAATAGATGTCCAAGCCAGAGAGTTTATAGTAAAATTTTCACTTTCTTTAAAAAACAAGTGCAAGTAAACCAGAATAATTAAAAAAGAAAATACTTAAATTTCTTTAAATAAGTAGTTTTTTATAGACAGTCTTTTCCTTAAAAGTTTTTAATATTTGTTTATTATTCTAGTATATACATAGAGTGGTGGTAGTATAAAAAATATTAAGGCAATGTTTATTGAATATGAATATTCCCAATAATCCTACAAAATGCTGAAATATTCTAAGAATACCCAGGGAGCAAAACAACATCCTATACAAGTGAATATGATGTTCTTTTTTCACCTGTGATGTTATCATTTTAGTGAAATTAACATGGCATTCACGTCATATGCAAGTCATATGCCCTATATAAATAACATCTTAAAAACAACGTGAATTCGATGTTATATTAGCTTGTATAATAACATCACATTGATGTCATCATTAATAACATCTTAAAAGTAACGGGATTTTGATGTTATATAACCTTGCCTATTAACATCATATTAATGTCATCATTAATAACATCTTAAAAATAACGTGATATTGATGTATTGATAGCAACATCATATTAAATATATATACCCCGGAACTCTAGCGATGACGTCATTTATTGTAGTTAGTAAATATTAATATACTTTAGAAATCTACAATGACAAGTTTTATTATGGTTATAACCACAGTAAAACTTGTCATTATAGAGTTCTATTAATTACTAACTACAATAAATGACGTCATCGCTAGTTCCTATGGAACGCCGTTTTGCTATTTAATATACATTTATACCAATGTTTCATTTAAATGATAGATGAAAAAACAGAAATTCGATTATAGAAATGAAATGAATTTCGTTGACCCAAGTGTCTTTTAAATGAAACTTAAGAATTAGTAGACGGATTTCGACGAAAGTTGAATTTATCATACCTACTCTTATGAAGTCTCCAATGTAAATTTAAGTCATAAAGATGACCTACATCTGATTAATATGAGCTGGAAACCATTTAAATGATACATAGAAACAAACAGATGAATTTAACTTATAGTTTTAAAGTTATGGTTGTATTTATATGATATTTTGATTATTCTCTCCAGTGCATTTATAACGACAAATAAAGTTTTAATGAAAAATAAACTTATGCAGTTGTATTTCAAACATAGTTTATTTTAAATGAATATTGGCCCCTATATAACATTTAAATGAATGTTGGGTCAGTCAAAATTACATTAAATTTTTAAAATAGTAAGAAACGTTCACATTTCAACAACAAATTATTTTTTTTTGTATTTAGATTTAAATGATACTCAAATTTTCGAGACATGTAGAGATCTAACGAATCATTTAAAACATAGTTGAATTTTTCTTACACATGAGTTTAAATGACATCTGAATTTATCTGGTAGATAAGCAGCTTGGGTATCATTCGAATGAAACTTGCATTTTACTTTTATTTAAATTTAAATGGCACTTTAATTTTACAATAGTTGGATTTAACAGATATAATATATACAGTGTGTCGCATTTAAGATGAAGACACCCCCATATTTTCGCTATTTCAAGGAATAGAGATTTGAATTTTTTCACATTCATACATGTTGGTGGGTCACATTTTTTAAGATACTCAACTGAAATCTGAACTCTAAACTTGGCCTACTACGAATTCACAAACGGGGCCAGTTGTCGATATTTTGCTTCGCGTTAGAAATATCGAAAAAAATTATTAGAAAAAGTTGTTCAGAATATTATTCTAACCCTGTATACCGATTTTCATAGCAAAATTCGCATTTCTAATTTATTTATTTTTATTAGTTTTATTATTGTTTTATACCATTTCCTTAATTTAATAAATTATAATTGATTTGTAATTTCCAAAAATTGTTTTAATTATTTATTTAACGGTCATAAACACTAGTTAGTATCAAATTATTACTTTCCATGGCTCCCTTTTATTATCAAATTAAAAAATGAACTTGTAGGTAATAATTTTGTGTGGACCAAAATTGGTATATGGGGTTAGAATAATAGTCTGAACAACTTTTTCCAATAACTTTTTTCGATATCTCTAACGCGAAGCAAAATATCGAGAACTGGCCCTGTTTGTGAATTTGTAGTAGGCCAAGTTTAAAGTTCAGATTTCAGTTGAGTAGCTTAAAAAATGTGACCCATCAACATGTATGAATGTGAAAAAATTCAAACCTTTATTCATTCAAATAGCGAAAATATGGGGGTGTCTTCATCTTAAGTGTGACACATTGTATATATATATATTTTTTTTCATTTTCATTTCAATGGAATCTGCATTTAACTAAAAGTTGAATTTAAATGACATTTGAATTCAAACGACACTTGAATTAAATTGACACTTGAATTTAAACGACACTTGAATTAAAACGTCACTTGAATTTAAACGACACTTGCCTTTAAATGGTACTTGAATTTAAATGAAACTTGAATTTAAATGACCCAGATGTCTATTTCTTTGACCTACGCAGCTGCCATCTATCGACAGGTAGTTGAATCATTTTCAAATTGCAGTTTAGGAGAAAATTAGCGGCATCTTTTTCGCTAACTTGCAAAAACAAGAAGATCAGTCACACCAAAAAAGAATCACACATGATCTTAATTCATGATACATGATCTTAATCTAAGTCTTTAATCCTTATATAGTAACCGCACAAAACTCTTTATCGTTAAGTAATAAATAAAACTTAAAGCCAGGAAAAAAATGTGGGGGATTCGTACACTATTTTTAAAAACAATGACTATACTCTATGGTAAACCATGTAGATAAATACAAGCAGGCGCCTAGACCGACATTTTGTTTGAATGCATTGTCGTAACCATAGATGGCGCTGTAAAATCACTAGATCACATACTTCCACAGGAAGTATGTGCACTAGATATAAATGTTTATCTAAATATTTATAATTTATTTAAATAGGTATAATTATCTACATGCCTTAAATAACTGTACAGTGACTTCATATATGTATAAAGTCACTGTAATATTTACTAGCTTTACTCTATGGAGTCCATAGTAGGGATTTGTATTTAAAAGGTTTTTGCGACTACCTGTCGATAGATGGCAGCCGCGTAGGTCAAAAAAATAGACAGCTGGGCCATATAAATTCAATTGTCGTTTGAATTCAAGTGTCATTTAAATTTAAGTTTCGTTTAAATTTAATTGACGTTTTAATTCAAGTGTCGTTTGAATTCAAATGTCAATTTAATTCAAATGTCGTTTGAATTCAAATGTCATTTAAATTCAACTTTTAGTTAAATGCAGATAAAAATTAAAAAATATATATATTTTTTATCTGTTATTTCCAACTATTATAAAAATTAAAGTGCTATTTAAATTCAAATGAAAGTATAATGCAAGTACCATTTAAATGATACCCAGCTGCTTATGTACTTGATAAATTCAAATGATATTTAAATTCATGTGTAAGAAAAATTCAACTTTGTTTTAAATGATTCCTTAGATATCTTACATGTCTTAAAAATTTGAGTTTCTTTTAAATTCAATTACAAGTTTATTACAATTGTCATTGAAATTGTTTCACCGCATGCATATATAAGAAAAATAGGAAATAAATTTCAAGTTAGCATTAGAATGATACTTGGGCCAACGAAATGCATTTCATTTCTATTATCGAATTTCTTTCTTTTTCATCTATCATTTAAATGAAACATATAAATGTATAATAAATAGTAAAACGGCGTTCCATAAGTTCCGGGGTATAACCTTTATAATCTGTGGGTATACCCAGGTAGCACACTGACGTCTGCTGACGTTTAAATGACGTCATTTTTAGGTGATTTTTGGTCGGCGACGTCACATCACCAATGTAGGACGTTATGACGACGACACATTTTATGACGTCCGACGACGTCTATTATCAGACGTCGTCCTTACGTAATGTAAGGTCCTAGATCTCTTTGAAGAGTAATTACTATATATGTCAAATCGAACTCTGATGACCTTATAGGAAATAAAAATATAATTTTAAGATTTTTATGCAAAATAATTTTTGACTTAAGTTAATTTTAGTATTCATTTAAATTTTCCTATTTTTGAAACAATAATTTTAAGTTTAGGTACCCTACTATATTAGGGTTTTCGTAGAAATTATAAAATTATTTTGGCTTTATATTTGAATTTTAGCGAACCTTGACAATTCTCGTTTGGAAACCAATCGCGCATGCGCATGGCTCTGCTGTTATGGGTATTGTTCCCGCGCTACGCGATTGCGCCGATATTCGTTTGACGAACTTCTTTAACTTAAATAGTTTAGGAGTGAGCTATTTGTCATGGTACAAGAAAACAATGTTTTAACAATGTCATTTAAAACGTTTATGTGTATCGTGTTATTTGTTATAGGATAGGATATAACACATTTAAAACCTTTATGTGTAAGTAGAAAGTGATTTTTGAGGCGAGCGGAAAATTATTTTCTAGAAGGTAAGTTGCCTAAGCTGTTAAATCGTTTTATAACCTTTGTAAATATCCTAACCTACAAAATCCCACTTTGTCGTTTCATAAAGTGTAATTTAAACTTGAGGTTTAAATAATATTAAAAGCGT